ATCTAAAAAAACATGCAAAGAAATTTTCACCTAATTACCAAAAGAAGTATTACAACAAAGAACGTCTCAATTCCAGAAGTAGGAAGTGCTAGTGAGATGCAAGATGGAGACGAAAGAAGACGGGCATTCATTGACTTCCATCCAGGTACCGTCGCCATTAGGCTAGTATTCGTATGACTCCAACTCCTGCTCCAAGTCGTCTGGAAGCATACTATTGACCTATGCTGGAAACTTAGAAAATCGAACAAGGGCTGAAATACATGAAAATAAGAGATCGATGACGACTGACCTGTCATTAAGGTAACCAAGGAATGTCCAGTGATCTTTCTCAGGATCGAAAATTTCAATAGAATCCTTTTCGGATGTCTTATCCCCACCCACAGCGTACAGCTTTCCATTAGCAACGGCAAGCCTCACCTACGAATGATCTTTTGATTCTGCTCACATTTATTCAAAAGAAGTGATCCATAAGAAATACTGAGCGTAGACTCACACCAGATCGCTCCTCGTTCATCTTAGCCACTGCGGTCCACTCGTTGGTAAGGGGATTGTATTTCTCAACCGATTTTAATTCGCAATGTGACCAGTCTTCTCCACCTGCTGCGTATAAGTGGCCATCTAGAACTGCGGATCCCAGATCATTTCGACATGTCAACATCGAGCTGACAAACTCCCATCTTCCCGTACGTGGATCAAATCTGAAAGGTGAAACGGTATAGGCATGCTCAACCTTCATTTTATTTGCTTCTCTGAATTCCAGAACGGTTGCTCTCATGGCGACAACTTTCTTTTCATACCTTTTTTTTGGAAAATTCCTCCGGAAACCATAGCTGCACCACGAACCGTTGATCCCAAGAAACTGAAGTGCCACAATAAGCATCAACTTAACCTTTCGACAGTGTTCGAACAACATCGTCCATTATATCCTCCGATGGCATATAGACACCTATCAAGGACGGATAGAGAATGCCCCTTCCGCGGAGTATCCATGGGTGCCATACCGACCCACACATTCCGTTGAGGATCATAACTGCAGAAATGTTGGAACTAAGATAATCGAAAGCTGTTGAGGTATTTCCTAACCGTTCAACAGTGTCCAGAAATCTGTTGCCGTCATAACCGCCCACTGCATAAAGAAAGCCACCAAGTGCAGCCACACCAGCACAGCTACGAGTTGTGGGCATTGGCGCGATGTCACTCGACCATTCGTTAGCCACGAGATCAAATCTAAAGTGACTCTTCGAAATAATCAGGCAAGATGTTCTCAGGTTCGGCTTTAAAGGCAGTTGGCACGATGGTTTCCTACTTAGCCTAAAATGCTAGTAGGGCGCTGTATAGTGGGGAAATGGCGAAAGAACGGAGTGAAACGGTCAAAATCCTGCGAAGAAAAAGCCTCCGTTCTCAGTGACTTGTAAATCGATTTCGGACGAGTTTCCCGTAGGCTTACCAATCACCGCTACCGAAGATACGGCTGCATATGTGTACCCATGTATGCATGCAGCATCACGGCCGCTTCATACCAATCCCTTCGCTTCATAATTTGCTAGCAAATGAATGAGCGTCAGGAACGGTCGTCCATTTGTGGGCGGGCGGGCGTGGCGGGCGTTTGGGACGTAAAGTTGTGGCTTGATAGGGCCCTTATAAGGGCACCTTCCTCGGGGAAACCGCTATGCAGCGCCTGCCCAGGGTC